TTATTTAAAAAGAAAAACTCTAACTTAGAGAACACCCTGTATTCACCCTATATACAGCAAAAAAGCGCGCCAGATTTAATACATTAAAAAAGGAGCTCTACTTTTTTTAAATATCTTTAGAATTAAGATGAACCGGTTGGATCAAACCTTCTCCATCTGGGTATGGACAAAGGGCATGGCCCCCTCTACTTTGATGGCATGCCAAAACTCTTTTTCGAGCAATTCAAATCTGGCGCGCTTTTTGAATCACCCTATACTACGATACTGTGTTATTTACGAGCATGCGCGTCGATGCGAATGGAAACCATCGACATAAATGTAGGTATGTGTACATACACATAACACATATACTGTTATACACGCATCTGTATACGTACATATGTACATACAGGGGCTTTCATTTCGAAATTTGCCACCCGCGTTATCTGCCTAAAGAGACAGATTTCTGGAAATCGTCGGATCACGTCAACAAATTAACGCACCTCCTCAATAAATTTGTTGACATGTTTCGGCGATTTCTAGAAATCTGTCTATTTACGCAGATAACGTGAGTGGCAAGTTTTGAAATGAAAGCCCTGTACATATTTACGTATAATATGCATAAGGCTATTTTCGAAATTCTCGAATGTAGGGCTGAGAAATCTTACCTCTTTAGGACAATGTGACCATTCAATTGTAGTTATATTTACCAAACTACAGTAAAAAAATCAACTGGTCATAAATCGTTTTTTATGAGCCAGTAATTGCTACATTTTTGAGAAAGGGGACACTGCAGACCAAACCATTTATTTTGTGGCTCAAATCGAATTTCGAATTATTTATAAAATTATCTCATTATTCACCTAAAAAATTAACTGTTCTGTTAATAATTACATTTGCATAATCACCTAATCAAGGTATTTTACATGTGCTCACTAATGCTCACTCTAGTAGCTACTACTTTTGCAACTTTTCGCAATAGAAAAGTTAGGCGTATTATCAATACGAAGATGCTCGAGAAGATTTAGCCGGTCGGTGATTGATGAATAAAGTATTACCGTGAAGTCGACAACTTTTGAGTGTAGGACTGGAGAAATGTACCTCTTTATTTGTAGGACAGTGTAACCATTTAATTGTAGTAATATTTACTAAGCTACATTAAAAAAATCAACTGGTTATAAATCATTTTTTATGTAACGTATCTGCTACAGGTTTGAGAAGGGAGACAGCCTAGATCAAACCATTTATTTTGTCGGACAAATGTTGTTTCATATTAATTATGAAACTATCTCAACATTCAGCTACAAAATTAACTGTTATTATTTACATTTTTATGATCACCAAATAGACATTTTTTCCACCTGCGCACTCTGTTAGCTACCTGTTTTTGGAATTTTCGCAACAGAAAATTTGGGCGTCTTATCAAAATGAAGATACTCACGAAGATTTAGCCGGTTATTAATGAAAAAAGTTAAATCGTAAAATCGACAAATTTTGAGTGTAGGACTGAAAATAGCTACCTGTTTATTTGTAGGACAGTGTGACCATTTAATTGTAATAATATTTACCAACCTACATTGAAAAAATCAACTTGTTATTAATCATTTTTTATGCAAGGTATTTGCTACATATTTGAGGGGGGGGACATCGTAGACCAAACCCTTTATTTTGTCGGACAAATGTTGTTTCAAATTATTCATAAAATTATCTCAACATTTAGCTGAAAAACTAATTGTTATTAATTAAATTTTCATAGTCACCAAATCGACATGTTTTACACCTGCGCAGTATGTTAGCTACCCGTTTTCGCAATTTTCGAAGAGAAAAAAGTTGGGCGTCTCGGTGAAATGAAGCTGCATTGAAAAAACTAGCTTGTTATTAATGATTTGGAAAAAAGGTCCTCGGCCCCCGGACTATATGAAGCAATCATAAAATCTCATTCGGATTATGAATCCCAATTCCTCAATACCACAACAATTAAAAATTGAAAAAAAACTAGACACAACCCAATATGTAGCTTTGAGGACAATTATTCTGGGTTGCATGAGATCAACACCAACAAATTTATTAGGTACTGACAGAAGCAAGTGAGCAATCCCTCGAGGTAAGAAGAAAATGGCTAACCCAAAAATTATCAATAACTAGTGCAATGGAAATTATTGATAATTTTTGGGAAATTTGCCCGAATGCATTTTTAGTGGAAAAAGAGCACGAGTGCACGTAGTGCACGAGTGCCTTTTTCAGTTAAAAACGCATGAGTGCAAATTTGTCGAAAATTATAAATATATTTCCATTGCACGAGTTGTATTTAATGAGAGAATTTCATAAATCAAAAATTTAAATTTTTTTGTCAAAAAATGTCAAAACACCAGTTTTCGCACCAGTTAGTATGCAATTATCTGATAATTTGCAGTAGTGTAAATTATCGCGTAATTACAATCTGATTGGTTCAAATCAACAATCAAAACATGTCAATTTATTGTTGGAATACCAGTTTTGACAGATGTATGAAATTCTCACTGAAAAACATGAAAAAAAGGTACAACCCTATAATTTTGGTAATTAAGGAGTTTAGGGAGCTGGATAGAAATGGAGGTTATTTTGCTTACAGAGAATTCCCATACCTGGTACAGGAAAATGGGTAACTAGAAGAACTGGAAGAGAAAACAAAGAAATATGAAGCACACCCCAGGTTTGAATTTGAATATAAATACCAAATAGGGAAAATACCAACCTGTAGAACGAACATTAACAAACAGGATATAGATATAAGAGGAAAATTTGCGGAAATAATAGATGAGAAGTTTAATCATTATTATAAGTTTTACATAGATGCAAGTGTGGAAAAAAGCAGAAATGAAGCAGGGTTTGGTGTTTACTGCTCACAGGCTGATTAAGCATTCTCGTCAAGACTACCCAATTTAACTCTTATCTGCACAGCGAAAACAGTAGCAATACAAAGCTGTGGCTGTGTGTTTGGAGGACAACATAAAAAGGAGCTTAATTTTGACAGACTCGCAAAGCGCGATGAAAACATTGGATTGTACAAATTCTAAAAATCTAGATCACATAATAGCAATGACTAAACAAATGAAAATGGTTTTGACATAAAAATAATCTGGATACCAGGACACTCAAACATCAAAGACCAATTGGTTAATGTAGATAGAAAGCTTAGGGTCCCATATCCAATACAATTGGAAAGAAATTTGGAATAATATGAGGGAGGAATTACTAAGGAAAAAAGGAGTAAAATACAAGGGGGTTTATCAGACTTTCCCAAGGGAACCTTGGTTCACTAATACGGAATACATAAATAGAAGACACATAACTACGATAATCAGGATGAGAACTGGACATTGTTTAACTGGTCAACACCTTACCTAACCGGCTGGGTATCAAGGACAGCTCAGCATGTGAGTGTGGGGAGGAGGACACTCTAGTACATAAGTTATTTGAATGTCGTAACCTACAACCTAACCTATATGATATTCTTGTTGCTAATAATATGCAAACGCCAATCTCACTTGAGTCAATTCTATTCAATCCCCAACTCAAAACCAATAAACTAATAATGGACTTCCTAAAAAATAAAATTCTCTATAGTACAATAGAACCCTGGTTATCTGAGGTTACGTGGGCCACCTCGGATAAATGAAAACTCGGTTAATCCGAATGTACATATATGTATATTATGTATGTATATTCTATAAACTCGGTTGATACGGAGTATGGGCGTGCGTTCCTTACATAATCAGGATTTTTGGGTCTTTAGACTGGCATAGTAATCCAGAGCTCGGATAATTGCGACTTGGATAATCGGGGTTCTACTGTATCTAAATTATCCTGATATTTCATAATAATCCCTCCTAATCCGAGACGATATTTCTTTATGCCATAAAGCTCCCCAGTCGTGCGGGAGCGAGAAGAGTCTATCCTTTGCTGTGCTATCTGTAAACTAATACCTACCTCCTCTAGACAACAAATAATAGTCAAACTTGAGGAAACTGAGAAGAATTGAGAAGACACTGACTCAAACCTTGGATAAAAGAATAAGCAGAGCAGAAGAACCTACGACAAAATAAACTAAAGATTCTGAAAGCTATATATTAGAATTCACTACAGGGCGGGTAAGGGAGCGGGACGAACCGAAAATCTCCTTCAACCACAATTTGTTTTGGTTAGATATCACAGACGATGAATCATATTAGGGTAGGTAGCACGGTAGCAGGGTAGCAACTCAAAATCGACAATGGAAGTAGCTCAAATTGCCACACATTTTCTGACCTAATTAGTTAAACAGATGAGGCGGTATTTGAGGTGCGATTTTACCAATAAATATCCTGAAATAATTGATAGTTTTGAAAAATCATTTAATAATAACGCGTCAATAAAAAAAGCAGACTGATAATATATAGATACTTTTTATGACACATATTTATCATACTTGGATTATAATGTCATTGTTCAAGTGAGTTGACAAATTGATATTATCATTTTTATATTAGATTGTTTTTGCGGTATAACATGTTCATATAATGTACAACTTACTGCACTACCATACCCAAACGATCCATATTCAGGGACAAAATCCGGCTATAATGAATGAAAAAACAAACTCTAGGTAATCAAAGTTTTACAAGATATCTGAGTGGTTCAAACAAATACCTTTATTTGAACAAGCGAATAATCTCTACAAAAAAAAAACTAATATCAATATTTCATAATAATTGCTTTGGGGTGAAGTATTATTGATAACATTTTTTTTAGCCGCATACCCGGCGATTATTAATTTTTTATCGCCGGTGTGTTTCACTACACTAGGCTGTTATGGAAACCTGGATACCCAATTGCTTATGACATAATTCTTTTTCTATTCAAAATAATTGATCAAGTATATTTTAATCCATTTATAGATACTAGATGGATACATGATCTAATAATTCATTTTGATATTTATATTGGTTTTGTTGTCAAACCGAAACCAAACCCGAATTAACTCTACAATATTTAATTCGTACCTGTCAGTTATTGAAAAGTATTGCCCAGAAAATGCACGAAACGAAAAATGTACGGCCACTAAGCTAACAATACACAAGCCTGACTGAGCAATGAATTTAGCAATTGTTGATAAGATTTGGTTTATCACATAATATTATCTTTCGGAGTAGGTACAATTCGTCATTATTGATAGAAATGTTTGGATTAGTTAGCATTTCACTGAGAAATAAAACAATTGATAAATTGTGTTTTATTGGATGAAATTTTAGAAAAAAACCTCATTCAACTTTAGAATAAACAAAACAAGTTATTTGATTTGTTATTCCTGCAATGCGTTATTGTATTTGCCAAGTGGAAAAAATAATCTTTCAACAGTCATTTTCTTAGTCATATAGTATTTAACAGTGTTTGCAATTTCGACATAATTTATTGTAATGAATGAAATAAAATTTCTTAATTTTTTGGATTGTCTGATTAATACGTGAGAAAATGTATCATTTGCATAATCGAGTTGTTTAAGTTTTTAAGCCTATGTAGTAATACTCCTCGAAGGCGTTTTCTTAGATATCTATCATCCCAAAACAATATTGTGCAATAAGCTCCATGTAGATATAGTGGAGGTTTTAATTCTACTTTGGATGGTTTGCTTCTGCCTTGAGGAAAGCTATAATGTTTCTGCGAATGTTTTGTGAAAGATGATTTTCCGGATACAAGGGACTTTCTCTGTGCTTCATTAAGCGTCTTTCAGAATGAGCTGCGCATTCTGAGTATTCCTTGAACAGCTTTGATAGAATGTTGTCAGGAATCTGGTTGAGACTCTTAAGAATTCTGATCAGCTGCAATTTTGATCTTATTTTTTTATTTATTTATTTATTTATTTACGGCAAGGCCAGTCTACAATAACAATAAAAACCAATTTACATATAGTTTTACATCATACCTAAACCTGAGCACATAACAAACAACATCTTGATGAATTCACCAAGTTTATCGTTCTGAATTCCAAAAAACAGATTCAACTTATTTTAAGAACTATCCAGCAAGCAACGGTAGAAATCTCTTTCTAAAGCTAGCAACAGAAGGACAACCAAAGATGTCAATACTCCGACTCCTTGAGTTGGCAAACCTGATCACCCTCGAGATCGACTTATTCATAGCATAATTAGTAGTATTAGGGATTGGTACATGAAACAGGTCAGAACCTCTCACCCTCATTTCTCCTGCTCTCAAAGAAACGAGACCCAAAAGATCTGGGCATTCAATAAACCCTCTCAAAAGTTTGCAAGGGAAAGCCAAGACCCGCCTGAATTCTCCTGTTTTGCAAGTTATGAACACTCAAGAAAGCCCTCATCCCGTTATAAATATACTCATAAAGAGCCAAGCCCAATCTGTAAGCAGCCATGCAGCCTGCAATGTTAACAGTATATTGGAAAGACCAAAGAACCCAGGAGCATACCAACATTGATCGCAGCATCGCACAGTACAATGTTTGCAATATACTTATAGTAGTGGACATACATATAAAGTCCCAACATCTAACAGCCCTTGACACAGTATTGGTAATATGGCAATTAAATGACATCTTGGAGTCATATACCACTCTCAAATCACGAATGCTTGCTAATTCCTGTTACCTATGTATTTAGGAAGGAAAATTCACAGCCCCGACCTCCTGTCTGCCATTTTTCATACCCCTTTTACACTAAAGGTAAAGTAAAATGACAACCAGAAGGTACCTCGAGTTTGATGAGACTTAAAAGTTGATGCTGTGGGTGTTGAACCTTTTGGAGTAATAAAAGATGATGCCTTTTCCACCTTTAGGCTCGACCACCATTACAATAGTCGGTGTTATTTGTGGTATTACAGGTTCTTTTGGTAAAGTCACTTGCATGTGAGGGTTACTTGCTGAAACACTGGCACTTAAAGATTCTTCCATGTCCGCACCAAATATCCCTGATAGTTCATTGGTTTTCAAGCATGCCGATAATGGCACACCTTGATTCGGACGCATATTATACGCATGCATGAACTTTATGACGTCATTAATCTTGACCAAATAAGTACAGAAACTTCTGCCATAATTTTGTCTGTTTATTCTTAATAATACCGGTTGTTTTTCAAAACCCGCTCACCCCTATAACTTTTTTATTTTTACAAATTAACAAATGAAATTAGGTATGTTTATTTATAACCCGGATGTGCCTTATTTGACGTATTCCATTACTTTTTATCACTTCCGGTTTGACCGGAAGTTATAGACGCCAGGTATATTTTCCAGCATTTCAATAGAAAACTACATTACGAGTGCAATGACACCTCATTTGTCAGTTTTTGACATTTCATCTCCAAATTATTTAAATTTTCACTTCATCATCTAAAGCGCCATGAATTAGTTAAAATGTTTAATGTTGCTCCTCTACAGACTCGCATTAAAAAATAGTAGAAGTACATTTTTGTAATTTTCTCAATTTGTTCAAATGGAAAGGGTGTGGCTCATTACAATATTCCAAAAGAGCGTTTTCTAACGAGCAATGCAGTACCACACAATCGCTAGTTCATTACTCAAATGAAGAATTTTCCTGCATTCTAAATATTTTTGGAAAATTTTAGTTCAATATTTGAATAAACTACCGATTGTCTGGTACTAAATTGATCGTAAGAAAATGCTTTACGGATATGCGCACTCGCAAGGAAATGTCCTATCACGCTCGAGAAGCGGCAAGTGTGCGGAAATGTCGGTGTATGTTGGTCTTGAAACGGTTCAGGTTGTAACCTGCAGGGAAAACCGTCGCAGGGAGTTTATTCCACAGCGATGCTGTTCTCCAGAGATATGAATTCTGATATAATGAGGTTCTTGGTGCCTCTAGTTTGACAGTAAATTCATGGTTACCGTCGGTTTGACGGGTTCGCCTGGTAGGTGCTACTCTCGGTGGAATCATACGTGCCAACTCTTCAGAGCATTTTCCGTGATAGTACCTGTAGAAGAGAGATAAATCGCCCACAGATCTGCGATGTTCGAGACCATCCAAGTTACGAGTAAGTGCGGGGTCATTGATCAGCTTGATAGCTCGTTTTTGCACGGTATTCAAAAGCATTAAGGTATGTTTGGGTGCTGCACTCCATATATGTGAGCAGTACTCCATAGTTGGTCGAATCTGGGCTTTGTAGAGTGTCAGCAATTGGCTTGGTGTGTACAGATGTCTTGTACGAAATAGCACCCCCAGCTTTTGGGAGGCCCTTTTAGCAATATCTGCCACGTGACTGTGCCAAGACATGTTGGTCTCTGCAGTAACCCCCAAGATGTTCAACTGACTCTGTAATGTGACAGCACTTCCAGATAGCATGATGTTTGGCTCACCGGTGCTGGTCTTTTTTGAAAACAGAGCTGCTTGGGTTTTCTGCGCGTTGAACTGTACAAGGTTTTTGTTACCCCAGTCCTCTATTATCTCCAGGTCGTTATTTATCTGCGATATTTGAGTTAGTCTAAGATGATGGAATTCACGTGCGGAAAGACCTGTGGGTGGTATGAGTGAGGAGACTACATTGCCATCGTCTGCAAAGCAATAAAGTGGATTTACTGTTTTATCTATGAGGTCATTTATGTAAATCAGGAAAAGAGTTGGCGAAAGGATTGCTCCCTGTGGCACACCAGCATTTATTTGGTAAGAGTTGGAGTTCTGGCCATCCAGTGCAACATAAATGGATCTGTCCTTTAGGTAACTTTCAAACCAAGTGCAAAGTTTCGGCGATAATCCCATTGCTTTGAGCTTGTTGAGCAGATTTTCATGCCAAACTTTGTCGAATGCTTTAGATATATCTAAGGCAATTGTTGTTGTTTCACCCCGCAACTCAATCGCTTTTTGCCATAAGTGAGTGACGTATGTAAGTAAATCGCCAGTTGACCTATATTTTCGAAATCCGTATTGCTTATCGTTGATAATTTTGTACTTTTCCAGTACTTCGTTAGGTGATTGTTCACAACTCTTTCCATTACTTTTGATATCACCGGAAGTAGAGCAATTGGTCTATAGTTTAACGGATCTGTCTTTTTTCCTTTCTTTGGAATGGGTTGTACTGCGGCAGACTTCCATGATGATGGATATACTCCTTGCCTATAAGACAAATTGAATAATTTTGCGAAAGTTGGGGTGAGTTCGTTGGCGCAATTTTTGAGTACTATTGCGGGAATGCCATCCGGACCCATTGCTTTGTTTGTATCCAGCTTTTTTAGGGATTTTCGTATTTCTCTGTGACAAAAGGGTACCTCTGGCATACTATGGGAAACCCTTTCAATGAACGGTGGAGTTTTTCCGTTTGGCACTGTTAGGTTGGAGTTGGAGGAAAACATTTGGGCAAGCATATTGGCTTTTTCCTCTGATGTTGTGGCTAAGTGATTATTTTTATCTGTAAGTGGTGGTATGGATGACTTGGTGAAGTTAGATCCAACAGCTTTTGCAAGAGACCAAAAAGACCTAGAACTACTTGGACAATTCAGCAACCTGTTTTTTATTCTTTGATTGTATGTTTCTTTAGCGGAGTCAATAGTAATTTTGCAACTATTTCTGGCTTCTATAAATTCTGTGTGGTTTTGAGCGGTTTGTTGTCGTTTCCAAAGGTTATATGCTCTGAGTTGTTTCTGAACAGCCATTTGACACTGGCTGTTGAACCAAGGTTTTGCATTAGCTCTACGTTTAGTTGTATGTGGGATATATGCGTCCATTCCAGATAAGATTACTTGTGTTATTTCATTACAGCAAATAGTGGGATCAGCTGTTTTAAAGCAAACCTCTTGCCATGGAAAATCCAGGTAATACTGTTTTAGGTCATTCCATTTTGCCGATTTATAGTGCCACATTTTACGAGGAAGTGGTTGTAGGCTTGGTGGGATGAGCATTTCGCACTTTGTTATTATAAGTTTATGATCGGACGAACCAAGTGGAGCATCTACTTGAATTGTGTACGAGTCAGGATTGGTGGTTAGGAATAAGTCTAAAAGCGCTGCAAATTCGCCCCTTTCTGAGATACGGGTAGGTTCATCGACAAGCTGCGTTAGACCACAACTTATGGCAAAAGCTTCTGCTTCTCTGCCTTCGTTAGCTGTTTTGTTGTGGTGTTTCAGC